GTGTAGGGCGGGCGCGGGGGACACGCGGGGTGTGCCGGCCGCTCCCCACCCTCGGGGCGGCCTGGGGCCGTGTCCCTACGCCGCCCGCTGCAGGGGGCGGGCCCGTGCGGGCGGGCCCTGGGGCCGCCGTGGGCAGGCCGAAACGGCCGCGGGTCCCGCGGGCGGGCTGTGAGCAGGGCCGGGGGGTGCCTGTCGCTGCCTCAGCACCGCAGTCCGTTCCGCCTCCCCCCCACCTCCCTGAACGGGGACCGCTCGGGCCTGGGGCTGCGCTGTCTGCTTCAACTGCACAAAACCCGGCGGTGACGGGAATTTAGAAGTCTTCAGGAAAAGGGGGTTCAGGGACTCGGAGCTGCCGGGCTGGGCGTGCTGTGAGCAGGGCCGGGGGGTGCCTGTCGCTGCCTCAGCACCGCAGTCCGTTCCGCCTCCCCCCCACCTCCCTGAACGGGGACCGCTCGGGCCTGGGGCTGCGCTGTCTGCTTCAACTGCACAAAACCCGGCGGTGACGGGAATTTAGAAGTCTTCAGGAAAAGGGGGTTCAGGGACTCGGAGCTGCCGGGCTGGGCGTCCTGTGGTGAGATGAAAAATGCCGGATCTAGTCTGTCCTGTCCTGTCCATCTTGCTTGTTTTCCCTATAAACATCCAAGGTCAAGGACTTGGAAACTAAAAAAAGATACACCCACATGCATACAAAAGACTGTACCAGTATAGTGTGCATGTATGTATACATGTACTATCCATATATATACTATATGTGTTGAAGACTATACAATAGAAAATTAGAGTTCGAAGGGACCTTGGGAGGTCATCTAGTTCAACCCCCTGCTCAAAACAGGACGTGGCCCAACTGGATCATTCCAGCCAGGGCTCTGTCAAGCCTGGTCTTACAAACCTCCAAGATGAAGACTCTACAGTCTCTCTGGGTAACGTGTTCCAGGGTCTTACTATGCCCCTAGTCAAAAAAAATTATTCCCAGTATCTAACCTAAACTTCCCTTGCTGCAACTTGACTGTCACTCCTCCTTCTGTCGTCTGCCACCACTGAGAACGGTCTAGCTCCATCCTCTTTTGAACCCTCCTTCAGGTAGTTGAAGGCTGCTATTAAATCCCCCCTCAGTCTTCTCTTCTCTAGACTAAATAATAATCACTTTCCTCAATCTACTGGCAGTGCTTCTACAAATGCAGCCCTGTATACTGTTAGCTGTCTTGGCAACAAGGGCACACTGCTCAAGTCCTTTTGTGCAGAGCTGCTGCCCAGCCTGTACTGGTGCATTGGATTGTTCCATCCTAAGTGCAGGACTTAGCACTTGTCCTTGTTGAACCTCATGAGATTTCTTTTGACCCAATCCTCCGATTTGCCTAGGTCACTCTGAATCCTAGCCCTATCCTCCAGGATATCTACTACTTACTCCAGTTTGGTTTATCTGCAAACTTGCTGAGGGTGCACTCTATACCATCTTCCAGGTCCTTGATGAAAATATTGAACAAAACTGGCCCCAGGACTGACCCCTGTGGCACTCCACTTTATACCGGCTGTCAACTAGATATCAAGCTGTTGATTATTACCCTCTGAGCCCAAGATCCAACCAGTTTTCTATCCACCTTATAGTCCATCCAGCCCATACTTCCTTAGCTTGCTTGCAAGAATGTAGTAAGAGGAATGTTGATATATCTTGACTTTAGCAAAGGTTAACATGTCCAGGGTGCAAATTACAGGGGAGCTTGGGGGGGGCTGAGCCCCCCCATAAGAGTTGAGAGCTCACCTGCAGGCTGGTCAGCACTTCTTTCATGCCCCTGCAACAGCCCAGAGCCCATGTGCAATCATGCACAGCCCCCAGCCCGCCCCATGTCTTTCTAAGCAGCCCAGGTGGCGGCAGTGACTCCTTTCAGCTGCCACCACCACTGGCCTCAGCCCTACATACTGGCGGGGACCTGTGCGCACAGCCCTGAACCTGGCCAGTTTTTGGTAGGCCCCCTGAAGAGTCGAAGTATAATTTGAACCCTGTCACGTCCACTGGTCTCCCTGCATCCACATAGAAGGCAGGCAGGGTGGATAAAAATCAATTATTGGGGGTTTTTTTCATTAAAAACAATCTTTTAAATTTAAATCAGATTTTTTTTATTTAATCGTATTTTTTTGTTAGGATGTTTTTTAAAAAAACTTTAATGTAAAGATGCGTTTAATTAGGTTATGTTAAAACTCAGGATATCATCATGGAATAGGGATTGTAACTTCTAATTATGTACTACTTGAGACAATATATTCATGCAACCTTTTTACAAGTTTTATAAATAGTTCACAACAGGCCATATTAAGGGCCCAATCTTACAGGATTCTCAGAAGCTTCTCTGTAGATTAGTTAAGATTAAAGAAAACCACTCTACCCAGTGGGACCCAGTGCTCAGTCAGAAGATCCCATTAAGCATCTCTTAATGCTTAGTTTCAGTTCTCAAACTGTGGATTTGTGTCTTCAGAGATCATAGGCAGACAAGGTTCTTTGGGTAGATGTGATATCTTTTTACTAGACCAGCTAAATAATTGGAAAAATTGTTCTTTGCAAGCTTTTGGGCACAAACGCCCTTTTTCAGGCAAAGGGAGAGTTTGCTGTCTCCAGAGAGAACATCCTTGTTAATAGCAGTCTATGGAGATGGGTGGGTATTCAGGTCTGCTCTCTCTCATCAGCCCCATTGTCTGTTTGCGTTTGTGTACACACAGTCAAGCCCTTACCTTTCTCTAAATGTGCAAAGTTTGAAGAAGTTAAATGAATAAAGGATATCCAACAACAAGAATGCACTTTTTATAGAAAACAGTGATTAAATTGAGGCTTCTTGAGTGACCAGTGATTTTTAAATCATGATTTAAATTGATTTGATTTAAATTAAATCCACACTGATAGGAGGCAATCAGGTTGGTCAGGCATGGTGACTTCATACTGACTGTTCCTAATCGCCGCCTTCTCCTCCATATGCTTAAAAATGGACCTGCATCATGATTTTTCCAGGGACAGAGGTGAGGGTGGCTGGTCTATAGTTCCCTGGATCTTCCTTAAAGATTCTTTCTTAAAGATGAGCACTACATTTGCCCTTTTCCAATCCAGGACCTCTCCCAACCACCACGAGTTTTCAAAGATAATGGCCAGTGGCTCTGCAGTAAGGCCAACTCCCTCAGCACCCTTGGGTGCATCACCTTCAGCTCCCACTTGTGCATCTCCATCTGTTCTTATATATATGTATATAGCAGTGATTCCCAAACTCTGACAGATTGCACACCACTAATTTACAATGATACAGCCTTAAGTACCACCAGCAAATTTTTCAGGTCAACCTTAAGTACCGCTAGCAAATTTTTGTCATATAAAGTAATTATAATAAATCTGTTAATGTTTACCACTGACAGGTTGTCTGCATACCACTGGTGGTATGTGTACAACAGATTGGGAACCGCTTTTATATATATAGCCTTAATATATATAATCTTTTATTTATATGTGTATATATATGTGTGTGTATTTTTACAGTGTGTGTGTGTGTATAAATGCATATGTATTTATATGTGTATATGTATGCTATATGTATGTATGTCTACATATATGTATGTGTATATATGCTATCACAGGATGGCTCCACTCTCCTCGAAAACAAGGTATTCAGACTAGATGGAAATAACACCGTGAAACACTCTTGAACCATGAGTCAACTGGCTATTCCACCATCAACTCCATCCCCCCCCAGCACCCTGAAATGGGATGCTTCACCACCCTCCTAGCCTAGAAGTAGTCTGGCATGCCATCAAGGAAACCAAGAACAACAAGGCTACTGGACCGGGTGGCATACCTGCTGAAATCCAGTGACTGGTACTGAGACTCCATAAATTTATTCCATGCATTTGGAACAACATAGAGATCCCTGGGGACTTCAGAAATGCTAACATCATGACCATCTTTAAGAACAAAGTAAGTGTGTGTGTAGGAATTATCAAGGTATTGTCCTCCTTTCCACAGCAAGGAAAACCCTTGCCCACATCTTGCTGAACCATCTTCTACCTCTTACCAAGGAGCTCCTGCCAAAATCTCAGCACGCTTTCAGACTATCCCATGAGGCAGCTGACGTGATCTCTGTTGCTCACCAGATCCCAAAAAAGTGTTGGAAACAACATCAGGACCTGTATATGGCCTTTGTTGGCCTCACTACTACCTCTGATTCGTTAATGCCAACAGGGAATGCAGTCATTCTTCTGACAACCTGGTTCTTAATGGTGAAACCAACGCCATGTATTCAGCTGTTGTTTGCAGGTTTCCCTTTCCAGAAGAACATATAGCCACCCTCCTCCTCCCTCAGATAGTCTTCATCTGCATGTCCGCTCTCGCTGAGAGCGGCAATGTCAATGTTATATCCCAAGAGTTCTCAGGCAACAAGAGCTCTTCTGTGTTCGGGTCTGTCACTGTTTGGGTTCATATATTCCAGGATGCTAAGGACATTTTTGCATTTTGACCAGAATTTGAGTGATTTTCCTGGAAGCGGCTATCCAATTGGGTAAACACTGTATACGGGCTTTATTGTTTTAACCAAAGCCTTTGACTCTGTTCACTATGAGGCCCTATGGAAGGTCTTTTCAAACTTTGGCTGCCCAGGGAAATGTATCACCATCCTAAGATTCCTTCATGACCAGATGACTGCTTCCATCCTATGCAGTGGCTCTGCTATGGAGCCCTTTGCCCTTCAAACTGGCATTAGGCAGGGCCGCATTTCTGTTTTCTATCTTTCTTGCAGTCATCAAGATGCTCATCCATGACCATCTGCCACATGGCATTGGCAGAGTACAGGATGGATGGGAATATTTTCAATCTCTCCCACCTTCGTGCCAAAACTACAGTTACTTTGGCTTCAATTGTGGAGCTTCAGTATGCTGATGATTGTGCTGTTGTTGCACATACTGAGGAGGACCTACAAACTGCTTCTCTCAAGTATACCAGTGCCTGGGACTGACCCTTAATATCAGAAAAGCAAAGGTACTTCCCCAACCTGCTCCAGACCAATCAAACCTCCCCCCCCAAGATCCTCATTGACAGAAAGGAGCTGGAGAATGTTGAATACTTTAAATACCTTGGCAGCCATCTTTCAAAGAAGGCCAGCATTGGTGAGGAGATTCAGTATAGGATCTGATGTGCCAGCTCTGGCTTTGGAAGACTGAATTATCATGTGTTCAACAATCACAACATCAGGACTCAAACAAAGTTCCTACTATATAAGGCTCTGATAATCCCAACTCTTCTCTATGGCTGTGAAGCTTGGGTGATGTACAGGGACTACTTGATATACCGGGACTACTTGAAAACGCCATCACTAGTGCTGCTTCTGGAAGATCCTTTGCATAAAGTGAGAGGATCGTTGCACAAATGTCGGTGTCCTCACTGATGCTAACACTACCAGTATGGAAGTATTGATTATTCAGTGTTAGTTGCAGTGGACAGAGCATTGTGTGTGCTTGTCTGGTGTATGTTTACTGAAACAACTGTTATACTCTTAGCCAGGATCAAAGACATGTGGGGGCCAGAGAAAATGCACAGAGGACAATCTCAAGGCAAACACTAAAAAGTGTGGCACTGACACCACAAATTGGGAAAAACGATCCCGGGACAGGGCTACAGGGTAATGCCTAGTGAGAGAAGGTACATCTTACTTTAAGGAAAACAGTCTCGTCCTAGAGGCAGAGTAATGAAAGAAATGGGAGGAAAGGAAACAAGACCAGTTTAACCTGTGGAATTTGCCAGAGAGTCTGTGGCTCTACAATTGGCCATCAACGGAGTCATCTACAACCCTTTACTTGACCCATAAGAGTGATTATCCTCAACTGTGAGGGATTACCACGTCCAACATGTATATATGCAGTCTTTATATGTGTATATGTATGTGTGTATTCTTTTTTCTTTATTTGTATGTATGTATGTATGTATGTATGTACATACGTATAGTATTTTTCAGTGCTTCTGAATTCTTGGCCTTGGATGTTTATATGGAAAACAAATTGTGTGTATTTATGTATTCATGTAAGAATATCTATGGTTATGGGACAGAGTAAGCAACTAGGTGTAGTAACAGACAAAACAGCATGTTTTGTGGTGTAAACCAGCTGCTCGTAGATAAAGGTTGGAAAAATGCTTCCTCGGTAGAATCTACTGATCATTTTCCTATCTTTTTCCCTTGGCCTCCTTTCTGGTCAGATAGATGTCCATCTAGTTTAGTTAGAGCTGGGAGGACTATCGCAGGCCAGATGCCAGAATAGCTGGCTTGTTGATTTGATTCGGTCTAGAAATTTCTCTATTCCTGTTACATCTTTTGCCTTGCTGGATGATATATTCTGTATAAATATACCTCTTCTGAAGTACTTTTTATGCATAATTTAAATATGACTATCTCTTGTTTATGGCAAAATTACAACTGGTTCTAGAAATGCTTTGGTGTAGTCCTTTTTCAACAGCAACTCTAGTGCTGGCTTTGTTCTTCATTTTTAATACTTGCATTATGATTGTGTTTTTAAGATGTCTATATTTAGTCTTTTGACCATGAATCTATACCATTTAACTATTCCAGTATTTTTAAAATAAGACACTATATATATTCTTGATTCTTTCTTGGTTTTCATTTAAAGAAATACCCAAAGGCTTCAATATTTCTGTGAAAGAGAAAGTAGCAAAGGATACTTGTATGGATAATAAATTAACAAGATTAATGGGGACGTAACTAGATCATGCATTTCACATTTTTACAAGGCACTTGGTGAGAGGAGAGTGGGTAGAAAGATATAGAAGGAGAACGTTTTAAAGAGCATAGCCGAGGAACTGGAATTTATTTAACTTCAGGTACAAAATGTCCTGTAAGCTAACTAAGCATGACTTTATTTTTTTTCTTTAAATCAGATGTCTTATTCTAAATGTAACTAAAGCAGGCTTGTCCAACATGCAGCCCGCCAAGGCATTTTCTGAGGCCTGCTGTGCTGCGATGGGAAATGAAAGTAAACACTGTTTACTTTCGTTCCCTCCCCCAGGCCCTCAGCAGCTTTCTAATGGCTGCTGAAGGACTGGCAAAGGAACAAGGCTCCCACACGCACCGCATCAGCTTGACGTTGCCGATGCAGCGCGTGTAGGAAGGAGTAGCCATGTAGCTCATCGGGACAGGATGAGCCCAGCTGGAGCAGCAGGGGGCTCAGCTGCACTTTGCCCCTACGTGCGCTGGTCAGTCCCAAGCGGCACATGGCTCCACCGCCACCTCTGCTGGCTGGTGCCGACCCAGGTGGGTCTGTTCCATCTGGAGCAGCATGCAGCTGAAGCCGGATTTCCACGTGCTGCTGGGGACGGGAGGAGGCCGGCCAGATCGGCACCAGCCA